CAGCCCGGGGGACCCTCTCGGCCACCCGCTCCGTCGCCCCGCCCCGGCGGTTCCGGGAACCCCGCCCCGGGGGAGGGAGGAGAGCGAGGCGTGGGCGGGGCCGCGTCCGGCGTGGGCTCGGCCACTCGGACCTCCGAAGTCGCCTTCTGCTCCCGGAGACTCCGGCCCCCGCCCCCAGCTCCCGGCCCGCAGCCGGAGCGGGGTCTCCGCGGGAATGCGCCCCAACACCCGAGCGCCCGTGCGACGCGAGGCCGACGCAGCCGCTCCCCGCGCCTCGGGCTCCCCATGTGCCCTGCGGATTCTCACTCTCCTGAGAGCTACCTGAGAACCAGGTGAGGTGGCGCGGCGACGGTTTCCAGTGCAGATCCGGGCACACTGTCAGCGCCCAATAAATGTCGAGACCCTTCTGGAAGTCTGGCCCGGGGATCTCAGCTCTGAGGACACAACATCGCCCCGCGCACTGGGGTGACGACCCTGTCGCTGTGGTCATCCAGCCCCCCAGTCCGAGCAGGCTCAGTCTTGGCCCAGGGCAAGCCTGGCTCAAGTGTCCTGGTCTGAGGGATAGAATCCGGCAGCCCCCAGGCACGCCGTAGGCCATCTCGAGGCTCAGGGGAGCACCGGCTGACTCCCGTCCTTGCCTGTCCCGAAGCATGTGCCTGGCACCCTGAGGTGCAGCGGCGGTTAACTGGCCCTGCCGCACCCTGGGGCTCGCAGCTGGGGCCCTGTGTTACTTCGGACTTCTCTAACAAAACATCACGGACTTATTAGTTCACACACATTTATATCTCACAGTACCACAGACTGCAAAGTCCAAGATCAAGGTGTCAGCAGATTCTGTGTCTGATAAGAGGTCCTGGTTCTAGATGGCGGTATTTTCCCTGTGTTCCCACACGGAGGGAGGAAGGCCTGAGGGAGTTAGCTCTCTGGGGCCTCTTTTATTAGAGCACTAATCCCATTCTTGAGGGCTCCACACTCCTTATCTCATAAACTCCCAAAGGCCTCCCCCCGCCACAGATACCTTCACCCTGGGGGTTAGGGTTTCAACATATGGGGAGAACGCAAACATTCAGTCGATGGCAAGCTTTTTTCCCCCAGGATCTCTGACCTGCGCCTGCCCTGTACCGGACACATTCAGTACATTGGACTTCAGGCGGCAAATGACATTACGCATTCAGTACATTAGACTTCAGGCGGCAAATGCAAAATGTACTAAGTACCACCACATGTGTCTCACCTGAGGGCAGGGGTATGCAGCTATAGGTTTGCTTTCCTGGGCTTTTAGCACAGGTGAAGCCATCTGGGGCCTTTTTTTTTTTTTCTTTAACAGAACCCAGGTGGGAGCAGAGGCATGTGTGTCTCTAAGCAGGGTGAGGGTTCCTCCCTGACCCAGCCCGTGCTCATCCTGCACAGCTGCGTCTGCCCCCGCAGCTCAGTTGAAAGAGGAAATAAAAGACCCCTTCATCCCACTGACCACGTTCCCCAGAGCACTGGCCGGAAAGGGCCGCCTCAGCCCCGAGTCCTCTTGTGCCCCAACCCAGCCTCTCCGCATTCACCCGATGGACTAGCTGTGCATCCATCTCCCTCCCATCCTGTCAGCCTTAGCTCTGGTGCCCCCAGTAGGGACCTGTCCCAGCTTCCCTCTACTTTCCCCTCCAGACCCACCCTCCACCCCACCCAGTCCTAGGGCTCCCTTTTAGCCAGCAGAAGGCAGCTGAAGGTGGGAGGAATGGGAGGGGCTGTTCCCTGCGCCTTCCCCAAAGCTGCAGGCAGTCACACACTCTCTGCCCCACCCTGCACCCACACCTACCGTAGCCAAACTTCTCACCTGAGTCCCTTTCATAGCCACTGAGAAATTAGGACTTTATCTTGTGGGCCTAGAGGAATGACTGATTTGAGAGATCCCTCTGGTGGACAGATTATAGGAACAGAAACTGGAGGGAGGGGGCTGGGAGGTGGTCCCACCAGGTTCCAGTAACCCTTCCCTCCCTAGCCTTGCCTCTGCAGGCCTAGGGATGGAAGGGGCTCCCACTGATGCTGGCACCTCCCCCCCTACATGCTGCACCAAGCCTAAGCAGCCCCCTGAACCTACCTACTGCTCTGTGAATGTCCCCTTTATTGAACTCTCTTCAAAAACCCAGCTTGATAAGAATGACTGTTTTCAGCTGTGACTTTTACAGACAGGACGGGCCAAGCTGTAGACACATTCTGCTTGAGGTGGGCCAGAGCAACACCCAGTGAGTGCTGCCCAGAAAGCCCAGTGCCTGGCTAGGTGTGGATGGCGCAGCCTGGATACGGCCCACCCTCCCAGGACTGATCTGCTGGGCCGGGGTGGTGAGCGCTAACGCAGAACACGGGCAGGGCCTTGCCATTCCTCTCCACCCAGCATCTGGGTCAGGGCCCCTTTCCTCGGGAGCAGAAATGCCAGACACTTTCCCAAGGGCCCAAGGCCAGCCAATCAGATACACCCTTCCTGGAGTTTGCTGGGGGCTAGTGACCAACAGCAGGACAACAGAGACTCTGCTTCGGCTGCAGCACACAGCATCTGGTCCTGTGGTTAGGGCTGTGTGAATCGCAAGTCCCCTGCCTGTCCTGTGGTAGCGGCAGTGGCTGCTCACTGGGCTAAAGCAGAACTTTATTTGAGCTGGAAATGAAGTTAGACGGCCCTTGGCGGCTTGGGGAGCGACACAAGTTCCTTTTCGGAATTCCATTTCTGATTAGGGTAGGCAAAGTCTGTTTCCTCCAACGGCTAAAGAAATTGTCACCAGGTGTGGCAGCAGGTGACCAGTGTGATACAGGTGTGCCAGCATGTGATTGGTTGGAGCTAAAGGAAATAGTAATCCAGCCAGGATGAAGGCAAAGGCTCTGGAAACCCCAGCAGGCTGAGGAGACCGAGCTAAAAAACCCACCACTGTTGCTGTGTATAAAAATAGTTCCTAGGTACTCTTTGTCCTTGCGTTCTGGCTCCCGAGCTCCTAGAACACTTGGAATTTACTGTCATTTGTATGCTAATGAATGGCTCCAGGTAGGGTAATTCATTCTCCCCCCCACCCCCAGGATGGCGCTGGTCAACAGAAAGACCCAGCAATGAATAGAAGGTTGAACTTTCAGCCCCACCCCCAACCCGGGAGGATGAAGGGCGGAAATTGACTTTAATCACTAGAAGCCAATGTTTAATCAATCATCCCTACGAAATGAAACCTCTATAAACCAAGGGTCCCTAACCCCCGGTCCATGGCCCATTAGGAAGTGGGCCACACAGCCAAGCTTCATTTATCTGCAGCCGCTCCCCAGCGCTAGAGTCACAGCCTCCTCTCCACCTCAGATCATCAGGCATTAGATTCTCATAGGAGCTCCAGTCCTTGGTGCCAAACAGGTTGGGGACCGCTGAACGGTGGAGTTCAGTAGTTTCCAGGTTTGTGGACATACTGATGCCCTGGGCAGCTTGGAAACTCCGAGCCGTCCCTCCCCTCCCCCACTCCCCTTGCCCTGTGTGTCTCTTCCATTTGGCCTTTCCTGAGTGCTGTCCTTTCTGACGAACTGGTAACTAACTGTAAGTAAGGTGTTTTCCTGCGTTCTGAGAGTCTGGTCTAATGAATTCTCAAACCCGAGGTTTCCGAACCCCCCAGTTTATAGACAGCTGGTCAGAAGTTACAGGTGGCCCTCTGAGGACTTGTGACTGGCACCTGAAGTGAGGACAGTCTTGTGGGACTGAGCCTTTACCCTGTGGGGTCTGCACGAACTTGGGAGTTGGCGTCAGAACTGAGTTGAATTGTTGGACACCCAGTTGGTGTGGGAGAAACACACAGTTTAGCGTCTAAAGTGGTGTCAGAAAACAAGACACCACAGGTGGCCACTCAGGTGATGATAGCTCATTGAGGACCAGGCTTTGGGAGACCAGAAGCCTTCACCTTAGAATAGCATGAGGGGCCTGAGAAATGTACTGACTGTGGTGTCAGGTGGTTGCTTCTAATAGCACCAGACAGCTTAAAGAGAATGACAGGGTCGGATTCTTCGCTGCTTATGTCAAGGCACAAACTGAAAACTTCCTCAGCTTTGCAAAGGAGGCTCCTATCTCTTGCAGCCATGGGGCCGAGATAGTCCATCATGAAACCTAAAGGCTGATTTTGTGGGTTCCAGATTACATACTGGTTGAAGTCACAGCCTCTCTAAGTCTTTTATGTGCAAGGTAGACACCGTGAAGATTAATAAACAGAAACCTCATTTAAATCGGAGTTGGGAGGGCCTGTTAGGGGGAGACCTCACACCTACTCCTTGTCAGTCGCTCCAAACTGGAAGAGAGGTACTTTCCATCTCCAAAAGGAACATCTTTTTCTACTTCAGTACTCCAGCAGGAAGAAGACGGGTCTTCTCTTCACCTGGCAACCACGCAGCCAGTGAAAAGCCTCTTCAAAGTCCCAGTGTCCTCCAGTGGACTCTTGGCTTACAACAGCTCCTCCGAACTCTCCCTTACCTCTACAAGAGAATGTTCCTCTGCTTTGTTTTCTGGACTTCGTGTGGTTAGACTGCATGTTCTGAATTGCAATTCTTTGTTGTTTACAAATTAACCCATTTCGTTAGAGAAAAAATCAACAGCAGTGACCAGGACAGAGCAGAGACTCTGGGAAACTGGACTTCATATGCCTCCATCCAGTGGTCGGTTCTCAGTCCTTACTTTCCTTGACCCGCCCAGAGTCATCTGACACAGCGGGCCACGCCCCCATCCTCCCACGCTCCCCACCCGCTCCCTCTCACACTCCTTTGCTGGCTCTTCTCATCTCAAGCTCTTAGTGCGGGGGTCCCAGGTCTCGGTCCATAGGCCCCGTCTCTCCTCTATTTACAATCCCCTTTAAGAACTCATCTGAGATGGGAAGGCAACTCCCTACTGTTGACTTAGCCAGAAAGGTCAGCTGCTGGAGCCTGCTTTATAAGAATACCCACCCTAGGGTACCACTGATCAGCATCAGGCAGCCTTGGGAGGTGAGCACCGACAACAAAGGACTGTCCCTATCACAGCAGAGTGTCCCTAAGGTGGACTTTCCCTAATTTAAACATGAAAAATCACACCTGGGGTGAAGATTTACCATGCAGGTGACACATGTGATGCGTGAAACATGTATTCATAACTGCACGGGCACCAAGAAATCTCTGCCTTTACATGCTCAGACGTGGCTTTTAGCCTGCTAGCCCCCTTTAAAACTCTGCCCCAACCTCTCTCGGGGAGCCTCCCAAACCTTTCCTTTCTCGGTGTTGGTTCCCTTGTGCACAAACTTAATAAACCTTTGCTTCTTGCCTGAACTTTCTTGTGGTGATGTCTCCTGATGTCCGTTTTGGGAGGTTGCAAGAACCCAGGATGCCGGTAACCTCCAGTGTGATGGCTCTGAAAACCATCTACACACTGATGATGCCATTTCTTATCTCCCGCCCGGGTCTCTTCAACTCCACACTTGAAGATGCAACTATCCAGTTAACATCTCCACTTGGATATCCAACTGGCATTTTATCTTAATGAGCCTTCAACTGAACTGCTGGCCCCCCTCCCAGTGCCAACAGCTTGCTTGCCCTGTGGGCTTCCGCATGTCCATAAATGGTAACCACACACATCCCTTGGCATCAGGTCTGTCTCATATGCCTTCCTCCAAACCACCAGTCCATCTTGGCTCTACCTTCAAAATGCAGAATCTGACCACTTCTCAGCAGCTCCATCACAAGCATCATGGTCTGTCACCTGGATTATCGCATCAACCTCCGGACAGGTCTCCTGGCTTCTACTCTGCTCCCATTGAGGTCTATTCTTGATTCAGCAGCAGCCAGAGGGGGTCCTTTAAAAATGATCATCAGATCAAGTCCTGGGCTCAGAGTCCTTCACAGGCCCCCCTTTCCAAGGCCCCTTACTGCTGTCTCCCCACTGCTTAGTCCATGGTAGGCATTTAAGGTGTTAATGACTTAAACAGAATGAAGATGCAGGAAAGAACCTAGAGGAATCAGATTACCACCAACCCCCAGACCTTCTGGCCCGCACCCCATGAGGGAGTTACCTTGCAAGGAGGAGCAGACTCTTCTCACGCCCCTCCTCCCCAACCCCTTGGTACCTCCAGTGCCTAAACTAGAGATGGATTCCAGCGCGTCTGGAGAGCTTATTACAAAGCCAAACCCAGAGGGGAAGGCTTATACATCAAAAGAATTGTAAGACTTTGTTATTTTATCTTGGCAAAAATATGGAGAATATGTGGGAAGAGACTGAGGTCCTAGACTGAAGAGATAAGACTATAAGTTTAGATTGGGGTGAATTTATCCACACAGGTGCACTTGCCAGAAATTCCGGACACAGGTGCTGTCCTAAGCTACTACGGGGTATTCTACGAGTCTGTGTGCTTTGCTGAAGTGAAGTCGGGCCTCACCAAATGCGGCGATGCTGAAAGCTCCCCAGTAGAGCGTAAAGAATCCAAAGCCTCAGGAAGAGTCACCCATCATTACAGACAACTCATCTTTCCCCTGATCCCTGGACAGCACCCAGAAGATACTCCTTCCACCAAGGCCTTAGGCAGCTCACTGCTGAGGGGAGCATCTTTGAAAAGTTTCAGTTTGCTAGGACTGTTGTAACACAGTGTCACACAACTGAGTGGCTTAAACAAGTTACTGTCTCGGTTCTGGAGGCTTGAAACCAAGATGTTAGCAGGGCCCTGCTCTCCCGCTGAAGGCACTAGGGAATTTTGGATTAAGGGCCCACTCCACTTTGGTATAATCAGCTTACTATATTTGCAATGACCCTATTTCCATATGAGGTTATTTCCATATTGGGGGAGGGGGTTAGGTCTTCAATCTGTGAATTTGGTGGGGGACACAATTCAACCCATAACAAGAGCCTGTCTTCCACGTGTCAGGGATTCTGATTAGAGATACTCTCATTTGAAATGGCTCCTTGATTTCAATGCAAATCCCAGGACCCCTGGTGACAAGGGTCAAGTAGCAGTGTTGAGCTGCTGCGAGAGGACAGGTGTGGGGACCGACACACAGCAAGACTTACTTGATGTATAGGACAAACTAACTGGAGGGCTGACCACCTGAGACCTGACTGCATCGGGAATTCTCTCCAATGTCCCAGATAAGATCAGTTCACATACCCGGGGGCCCCTGAACAAAGTGGGGTGAGTGCCCTTTAAAGGGGGCCCTACGAAAATAGCTCAGGTTCATGCTGGCACTTTCCTCATTGCCCACACCAAAGAGACCTGTGACCATTAGCTAGCGTGTGGCAGACATTAGTTTTGACTTGCCACAAAGGCATTTTTCACTTTTAATAAAATAGTCGTGTTCAAACACCAATGAGCCTGGGTTCAGGGGCTGAATAATGATTGGTCCAAACAAATACAGCGACACTCCCCTTTGAAGGTGATAATTTATTAATACATGGTATATAATTATTATAAATCTAACTCAAATGTTGCTGAAACCTATGTCTTTACATTTCATTCAATCCAAATATCCTCTGATCCCACCTGATGACTACTGTTTCCTAGCAACTCAAAATGCTACAGAACTCTTCAACATGACTATACATAATCACTCTTTCTAGGCTGTGGGACAACATTGAACCTGAAGAAAAATGCTGATAGTTACATTTCATTCCTTCTGCTGTTGCTTTGCTACTAAAAATCTTCAACATCTCCTTCAGAAAGTGCTGAAGCCTCCAAGGCGGTCAGGTGTCCACCCCACGAACTCAACGCGAGGACCACTGAGCTGCCGCCCAGCCTCACCCACCGGGAGACAGGCGTAGCTGATAACCTCCTGAGCCCGGCGATGAGCCCAGGGGTTTGTCATCCACTGTGACACAGCCAGGTAAGGCAGAGCCAAAGTTGTCGGCAACCCCAAACCAGACAGGAGCAGCCCAGCCACAGCCACCCTCCACCCTGAGAGGCGCAGGTGGACACCCAGCCATGCCCAGCCTTATCATACCCAGGTAGAACACCCCTGCTACCTGCTCCCAAGGCCAAAGCCCCAGGGCAGGAGGTGTAGAAAATCCAGTGAAATCCTGAGACATGGGAAAACAACTAGCCAACACGCACCCCAACCCACAGCGTCATGTAGCGCCCCCATCTTTGACCCAGCCCCTGGTTCCCTTCCCCAAGGATGCTAACATTTCCAGAGACCCTAGAACCCTCCCTTTACCGGTGTTCCACCCCAGATCGCCCCCGCCCCCCACACACATCTGCCTCTCGCCCAGGGGTGAAGGCCCAGAACCCTAGGTCAGCCCAGAGGAAACAAGGCCCCGCCCCTGCCCATATGGCCAGCCCAGGGCTCGCTCCAGGGCAAGAGGGGGTGGGAGCTAGACCACGGATCCCAACGCAGACCTGAGAGACCACAAGCCAGGGCTCTGCGGAGCCGGCCGGAAAGAACGCCTCACAAATGGAGAGCTGGCCGCAAGGCACAACCTGAGATCAGGATTTATTTTAAAAAGTATTTATTGCAAAGAATGCTGGACACAGTGTGATGTGAGGCTGAGATCCAACACACCCGTTCCGGGGAGAGCAGTAACATGTCTGCAACGCAAGCACATTGACGGCCATGGCTAAGCCTGGCAGCCAGCCGGGCAGGCAGTCGCCGTCCGTGCAGAGGCCAGGCCGGGGCAGAGGTGAGGGGAGGCTGCCTCAGCCCGTGCTGCAGCCCCAGACTTCCCTCTGCCCTGTCTCAGTCCTTGGAACACATCTGGGTCCAGCAGCTCCTGACTGCCTCTGGACACAGAGTGAAAAGGCCTCGCTGGTCTCACCTCAGTCAGCCTGGAGAGGTGGTGACATCCAGGTGTATTTGCCACTGACCGAAGGGATCCTCTAGAGCTAACGAGTGAGTATGTCCAGGTGACCAAAGTCACCAAAACTCCAGGGGACACAGAAGCAAAGGCTTAAGTCCCCATGTCTCAAAGGCAGTGTGGCACGGTCCTCTGGCCTTGGGTCTAAGGGGCTTGGGACTCTGAGGGGAGATAAATCCAGAAGGGGAACCTGCCCCGTCCCCTCCTGGACTCTCTCCACCACATCTGTCGACAGCTGCTGCGGCACGTGAGGCTACGACCACCAGCC